GATTTTTGATGTCATGTAACAGAGGCAACCAATTTGAAGTAAAGCATTTTTATCCGTAGAATTCCCGAACGACTAAAAAGAGGAGCACTGTGAGATGCATAATCGGAAAAATACATTAGACGAAGAACCCGCTTTTGTAAAATGACGATTTTCTTTAGATGAGTATTCGCGGCTTGGCCCCAAGCAACGAGACCATAGGAAATATACGGTTCAGTGGGCGAGCGGTAAATGTTTATAAGAGTAGTGAGCGGTACCAAGTGTCTTAGCCTCGCAATAATGCCGATGCCTTTGCTTATTCTRGTGGAAATGTAGTTAATATGGTGCTTCCAGGAGAGATTACCGTCAATTAGAACACCTAGGTATTTAACATATGTCTTACGTTCAAGAGATACCAATTGCTCCGAGTTATTTTCAAGTATTTTAAGGTTTACTTCTCGGTATAGTTCGTATTGATAAGGATGAAAAATAACGAAATTAGATTTAGATACGTTAAGAGATAATATATTTGAATTCAGCCATTCACACAACTTTAATAACTCTTCATTGACGACAACTTCAAGTTTGTTTAGATCTTTTTCTGCATATAGTAAATTGGTATCATCAGCAAATAGATAAAAGTCAAACTTTTTAGAGGAACGATGCATGTCATTGACATAAATTAAGAAAAGAAGCGGACCGAGTACAGAACCTTGAGGGACTCCACACACTATTCTATTCACACACTATTCCATTCAAACTCTAAATATGCTTTGTCCTACGTTCACTACATAATAAAGAAGTATCTTAAGGGACGTAAAAAGACCAATACCAGAGCGGAATTGAAGAAATGCAGCAGTTAATATCACTGGTGGGTACTTTAAAGATTAAGACTGATGGCATCTACATTTTTTCAAAAACTCCTCATTTCGGCTCAGGTATCGGGCTTTTTTATGTCCTTTAATATCACTGGTCGGGGTTTCAAAGATGAGGCAAATTCTCTTAAGCATTGGGAATAAAGGCAGATTTGCTGTCGTTTTGTTTCCAATGTTCTAATGTTGTAGCTTTGAAACACTTTAGAATTAGTCTTTTTTTCATTATCCCTCAGAGCTTCATTGTCTACCTGTTGCTTCAATTAGAAAACCGTGACTACATTTTAAAAATAAAGTATGTTTTTCAGTCGGTCTTAGACTATGGAACTTCAGCATCGCACTACTCGTAATAAGGTAAGAGATATTCTAAATGCTGAGGATTTATTTATCGTAAGATTTTTTGGAAAAGAGTACTTCTTCCTTTAGGAATTCCGCTCGATTTATATTTCATCCCGAAGTGACTTGGTATTAAAATATAAATTTTTGGTAATACTTTATTAGGTTTTTTTTTCTGTGTAGTTTATATTCTTAAAAAGCGCCTCTCCACTAAAGCAAGAGGACGTTTGATCGATTCAAAGAAAATGTATGAGGTTTTTTTGTTTTTTTCGTTTTTCGCATTTTTGCGCGCAGACGAGGAGAATGTTACTTTCAAAATAGCTTCTTAGTATTCCCAAAGTTGAAAGCGGTAACATCAACATCAGTACTTTACGAGTTTCCATCATGTTGATATCGAGCTCGCGTAGTCCTTGTTTTGGTTTTAGATGTAACCTTCGATCATCTTGCAACCTATTCAGTCAGAAGGAATGTGAATCCCCAGTAGGTTGCTACTTTCAAAATCAGGGTATCAAACCTCGATGTGCAAGTGATTGAAATCTTGCGACAGAAACTTCCTGCTAGAAGCTGCGTTTAGGAACACTTTGCGGTTGATACGAGCTCTATCGCTGAAATAAAACGAGCCTTTATAAATCAACGTCTACACTTTGTGTAATTATCTTACAACATTGGAAGAACACCAAAGGGCATAAAATTATCATGATTTCAATTGTCAACGAACGAATAACACCAATTGAGTTCGCTTTGGGCGAGGTATATTTGCGAACAAAGCTACTATTCTTCCTTTATGTTTATTTATATTTTAAAAAGCATACAGCATGAAAAATGTGTGCTCAAAATGTGCACCAAAATGTAGTCGACGACTTTTTTTAAAGAAGCTAAGGTGCTGCTTCGGTGGGGGGTATATGATAGGATAATTTGCTTTCCTCAACTCAGCTGGCAGTGTAATTTCACCACAGTAGAAGATTTTAAAGTTATAGTTTCGAGAATTAGACGCGACATGAAAGTAGGCGGTAAGCCACACTCTCTATAGGTTAAGTATGGGCCGCAGCAGGGTGGTTTACAAAATCTTAGAGAGTTCACCCAGCATCCCAAGGGGTTTATCAGCCGGTAAATTGATAGGAAGTTCAGTTCATTGCTTCTATGACATAAATATGAGTGAAGCTTGTCAGAGAGAAATATAAGTTTAATATTATTTTGGGATCAAGTCGCTGATTCTCATGAAGACCGTCAAAAAGTGCAATACATACATACATACATACATACATAGGTTAATTGACCATTCCTTATAG